TAACACCCATCTATGTGATGACATTGGTTGTGTATTATTATTGGGTACAATCTATGTGTTGAGATCAGTTGTCTATTATTATTCGATATAACGTTCCATTTATTGAAGGAAGTTGTGTGTTATTATTTTAATTTTTTACAACAATCTATGTATTAACAATAGTTGTGTATTAATACTGTGAATGACAATATATGTATTGACATTTGTTGTGTATTTTTATTGGGTACAACAAACTATGGATTGACAACAGTTGTTTATTATCATTGGGTACAACAATCTGTGTTTTGACTTTAGTTGTGTATTACTGTTCGATACAACAATCAATATATATTGACATTAGTCCTTTACTATTACTAGGAACAACAATCTACGTGTAGAAATTAGTTGTGTATTATTTCTGGGAACAACAATCTATGTGTTGACATTAGTTTTGTATTATTACTGGATACAACATTCTTTGTATTGACAGTAGTTGTGCAATATTATTGGGTAGAACAATCTCTGTGTTGACAATAGTTGTGTATTATTACTGGGTACGACAATCTATGTATTGACATTAGTTGTGCATTATTACTAGGAATAACAATCTATGTGTTGGCATTAATTGTGTGTCATTATTAGGTACAACAATCTATGTTTGGACATTAATTTTGTGTGTTATTATTAAGTACAACTTATGTGTTGACATTAGTTGATCATTATTACTCGATACAATAATTCATGTGTTGATATTGGTTGTGTATTATTATTGACGTTAATGGTTTATTATTATTGGGTACAAAAATCTATGTGTTGACAATAGTTGTGTACGCTCACAAGACAAATTCTGTACGGGTATACTCAATAACAGGCACTTAACAGTCCATATGGTTTACATAAATTAAGTTCTTGTTGTCCGCCGGCGGTTTTCGCAAAGTATCTTTACCGCGTTAGAAGTTAATGGTGCGAAAGAGAATTTTAACCACTGCAATTTGTAAGGACCTAAAACATTAGTGCACATGCACCTGTTATGTACGTGTCTGAGGTTGTCGCAGTATGAAAGTCATCCTGGAATGAAACTTGATAAGTGTTTACGCTGGACCTATGTTTATGTGATGTTGTTCACTTTTGGAAACTCGGAAAAAGTGGAAATTCGTTACAACGTTTCTGGCTATTGTAAAGGAAAAATATAGAAAAATGGAGGGTGAGACACTGACGTAGACAATGACATCGAATTCAGAAAAGAGAATATCATTCACAATAAAACTAGACATTATTGTCAGGAAAGTTCAGGACATTTATATAAGTTATATAAACTTAACCTGGCGCTCAACGAATGTTTTATTACTGTTATATCAAAATTCAGAAAAGGGAATATCATTCACAATAAGATTGATAATAATTCAAGAAAGGCAATGTCTCTCACAACTAAATTGACAATAATTCAGAGAAGTACATATCAGTCACAATAAGACGGATAATAATTTTTACAAATATATATATATAGATCACGCTTTGCCAGCATAAGCTTTATATACTAGATGGAAATAATGTCAAGCAATTGTTGAATTTGTTAGATTTCGACGCGTTATGTTATATACTCTATTAGAACAGCATACCAAGCTTTATTTCCCTTTTTTTATATTCATTGAAGGAGGTTTGTTTTTTCGCTATACAAAATTATCATAAACTTGACCTGGCGCTCAACGAATGTTTTACTACTGTATAGATATCGATTAGCAAAATTATTATTCATTCAAGGTTTTCATTAGTTATCATGTTCTATAGACTAGAAAACGCAATATCACGAAACTTAGTCCGAACATATACATAATATTAATTGACATTTCAAGATTTTTAGGGTCAGAACACCTTCTTCTAAAGCACCTAATAGTTAAGCAGTTCCTAACTTTCATCACAGGACGTCGAGTTTCAGAAAACAAATTATTAGTCCTAAACTTGGTTTGTTCTGTCTTATGCTGACAGTGTGGCGAACCATTTTGTAACTAACACTGACTTGTTGTTAAAACTGCCTTTGTAATTAACGCTAGCTCCTTCTGTTAAAACTACTATCGTAATTAACGTTTCTTATAGCAAAGCCACATCGGGCTATCTGCTGTGTCCACCGAGGGGAATCGAACCCTAGGTTTTAGCATTATAAATCCGAAGACTTGGTGCTGTCCCACCGGGGGACCGAAATTAACGTGGTCCTCTGTTAAAATTACTTTCGTAACTAACGCTGGCGCCTTCTGTTAAAACTACTTTTATAGTTAACCTTAGCCTTCCGTTAAAATTACTTTTGTAATTAACGTTGACTTTCTGTTAAATTTAATTTTGTAATTAACGTTAGTCTTCTGTTAGAATTACTTTCGTAATTAATGCTTATCGTCAGGGGTGGTTCGTACTTGTTTAAATTTAACAATAGATTGATCGTTCATCTAGAATTAAAATATACGTAATTAAAGGAAATTACAAGTTAATTAATGGGTCCATGTGTATTAACAAATTATTGGTATATAATGTTAACTAATAAAATGTATTTAATGTAATTAATGCCTGCATGTAACGAATCTTTTTGACTCGATTAAAAATAAACAAAAATGTTGTTTTTCGCTTTTCAAGGTGCTGTTATTTTATATTCATGATTATAACTTTAATAATTTTCAGAATGAATTGTTCACAAGTGTCCTGGAGAGTCATGGTGATGGGATGCTAAGAAACTAGATGGTTAAAGCTCAGATTTCAGACTTTGGTGTCAAGTCTGCTTGTGATGAATAAGTGTAGCGTCATTAAACTAGCTACATGAATTGCCTTTTAAATCTCCTGGATGGAATGATAAAAGGTCTGAAAGTTAAAGTTCAGGATTCACTTCTGGCTCTTCATATAGAAGTTAACGATAGGGTTATTAAACTTCGCACATAAATATTGTCTCATATTTTTTCAATCAACCATTTTAATAATATGATAACCTTTTAAACTTCTTACTAAATGGGGAAAAAAATTATTTCTTAGGCAAAAGTCCATTGCTCTCACCAAATATTATTTTGCGATCGGTAGATTTTCAGTTGGCAGTCTGCTTATAGAGATTCCCGTGCTCTTTTCCCTCTTCTTATTAGAACAGAATAGGCTTAGCCTCTTTTCAAGCACTACACTAATTGCGATTAATTCTATCTTATGAAAAGCTTTTATACAACACATTTAAACAGTGGTATATATTTTTTGAGTGCAAAATGAAGAATATCTAGTGTATACTAATGATTATTACTTGTATGTATATGCCATATCTTAGATCTGAATTTGTTTGTTTTTTTCCTTGTAAAGTGAATTCAGCCTCATTCGATTTGCTTGGAGTTTTTAAAGCGGTGAATGACTATCATTTGTTTTACGTCATCTCATATTGATTTGCTCTCATATGATATCGATAGCTAACAGGTTACAAAGGACGAGAAATTGCATAAAAAATCTCAGAGTGCAAAACATGTGTATTTTAATCGTACAAAAGCTTAATCATAAGCCTGACATGGCTTGGTGATTAGAGCACTCGACTCGCAATCTGGAGATCGCGAATTCAAATCCCATCACCAAATATGCTCGCCCTTTCAGCCGCTGGGGCGTTATAACGTGATGGAAAATCCCACTACTCGTTGGTAAAGAGTAGACTAAGAGTTGTTAGTGGGTAGTGTTGACTAGCTGCTTTCTCACTTTGCGCGAAATCCAACAAACAATAACTTTTGATGAAAAAAAAGCAATATCGTAAATAAACACACCAGAAAAATGAGTTCGCTATTTACAAGAGATGATCATATGACGATTAGTGTGTGATGAAACCTGTGATTGGCTTTAATTAAGTTTACTTGAGTTATCCACGCAAAAACCAAAAAACGTCGTTAAAAACTATGATAGTTTGATGTGTGTGTATGTGTAAGTATAGCCAAAAACTTATGTATAGGAAGATACAAAATAATAAATAAAATGAATACCTGAATCGAACAATAAGTACCTAGAATATTGGTTTATTTAAATAATATGTAACATTATTAAATGCAATACAAAGAAAATAATATATCAAACATACTACGAGGTTTGTTTAACACAACTACTCCCACTTTACCTAACCTCTGTCACTTAACAACACATGAAGCAGGCAACAGGAAGTAATAAATAAAGTTAAATCTTCTGTAACAGCTGAAAAATATATACGATAAGACTCCAGAAAGTTCAGTAATAATAATAAGAATTTGAAAGGAAAGTTAAAGCCCTCGTTAATGTGGTAAAAAAAAAATAGCAAAAACTAATATAACTTAACTAATGACGTAATGCCATATATAGTATTATATATAGCATTAACTATACATCATGAGAGTTTAAGTTAGCAAGAGGTAAAACCAGTGTTGGTCAATACATAAAGCAGTTCACTGTAACGTTAAATAATTTCCAAAGAAATTAAAGTGTAGATGTGAAATCGTGACATTCTGTATATCTTCTAAGGCTATAATAACCAGCAAGAATTTTGTAAAACACACCATTTTAACCAATTGTTTTACCCATGTAAAACAAAGAACGGATTAAAGTGTTTATTTCTTACTCGCATTTGTTGGGAAGTAGATGAACACAATGTACCCCCACGTGTCTTTATCATAAAGGATAAAACTTTAAAAAGACCCCGCCTCGAACTCTTGACTCTGGAGTTTACAGGAAGTTAAAACGTGCCATATCTTCGGGTTTAAATAGCAGTTGCCTGTGAAATCACAAATGAGAAGCTTATAGCTGTCATTGTTTGTAAAGTACACTGTTGACAAACCCGTTTTTGTCTTTGTTACGGAACTGAGAATTAAGTGCGGTATTATTTTTATGATTTGAAAGAAGAGACTAAAATATGTACGTATAAAAGAGTAGTCGTTTTCTCGTGTTTGGCGCCTCGTCAGTTGATGTTGAGTTCTGTGGCAAGCCAATAAGTGGCCAGGCGAGATTCTGTCGTCATAGCTCGTGAATATGCAACCCGCCCAAACAGGGGCGTGAAGTGTGCACCTATGAGAACTGAGTTTTCATTCAAGTTGGATGCATACTTGCTTCTGGTCGTTCGTTCTGCTAGACGTTACGAGGATGTTAGGTTTACAACTTTTAGGGAAATAAACAGACGTTCCTCCCACCTTACATAAACAGAGGCGAACTGTTCAGCTTTAAGACTTATTGATCGAAGCAACGTCTATGTTTAGTATAACTGTTACATAACCTTTCTCAGTGACCCTCGACTGTGGGACCACAGAAGGCAGGATTGTCGGGACTTCTCAGTTATTACTTGCGATATGGCGGTTGTAAGCCCGTAGGTTGACATACAAGAAAGGCTTTAAACCAGATTTGGGATGTAAGAAGTTCCTACCGAATTCGTTTATAAAGATGTATACATAAAGCTCCTTATCATGGTTAGTAGCCCATAAAGTCTAATTATTAATTAGTTACTTTTCTTTCCATTTATTTGCCCCATGGATAAATTGTCATAGTTTCGAATGTTCTTTGATGGAGAACGAGTTGGAGAAGACAGGAAGGTACAGGTAATCATCTTTACGTCTTATTAACGTCGAGTTTTATACAGATGATTTATATGAAACGGTAGATGTTCGTTCCCATGTAAATCTACTAATGTATTTTTATTATATTTTTACTGTTATTAATAAAGCCAGACTTAGCTCTTTTTTTAAACCATTGGCTATTTTACAGTAAAGTGCTTTACAACAGGTGTAGCCAGATTCGCCCAGCCAGATATTTGGATGCTACTTTTCTTCTTTCAGGGTGTTCTTTGCCTCACTGTACTTGTAATCAGATTTGTCAATATATTTGACTATTTCTAGTTTTATTTTCTTTGCATGAAGCACGATTTAGCTTATGATGTGACTGGGGCGCGTGTTAGACCTGTGGTAGCGGCTCTGAATTTCGGAACTAGAGAGCCGATAAAATATTCCCCCGGTGGATTTCAAGAGTGACAGTCAATCCCTTAGCGTGAATGGTGTGATGCTGGTAGCTGCCTGCCTTCCCTCTGCAGAAGTTCAAGACTAGGTACGACGGCATATAGCTTTAATAGCTTTATCACAAATACAAAATTTGATTAAATTTTACTTCCTGCTAGGCTTCACGATAAAAAAAATCCGCTCTATTCGGAGTTATTCTGCGCACTTAAATGAAAAATCACATTTTCCTCCAAGCATGGGTGTTTCACTCTAAACTTTTAACCTCGCCCTAAAGTAAACTGGAATGCTAGAAGTTATTTACATATCTCTCTGGGTTATTTCGTGCTGGAGGTTCGGATTTAAGTAAAGGGTAGTAAAAGCAGATCACTTGTCACTCTTTACGTGAGTGAATATTACATACCAAAAATCTCAAATTATGCAGTACTCGCCGAGACTGTGTTATATACTGAAATATCTTGATCACGATGCTGGCCGAAGTTGTGTGATATATACTGAATTATCTTGACCATAGTACTGGCCGAGACTGTGTTATATACTTACTTATCTTGATCACGATGCTGGCCGAAGCTGTGTGATATATACTGAATTATCTTGACCATAGTACTGGCCGAGACTGTGTTATATACTGAAATATCTTGATCACGATGCTGGCCGAAGTTGTGTGATATATACTGAATTATCTTGACCATAGTACTGGCCGAGGCTGTGTTATATACTTACTTATCTTGATCACGATGCTGGCCGAAGCTGTGTGATACATACTGAATTATCTTGACCATAGTACTGGCCGAGACTGTGTTATATACTGAATTATCTTGATCATGATGCCGGCCGAGGCTGTGTTATGTATGTCCTAGAAAAAAACTAGTACTTTTTAAACTACAACGGGGAAAATGCGTGTATATTAGCTTTAGGAAGTTTTGGGGAAACTCAACATAAACATATCTGAAACCCTCCAACATCCCCGATCCGGTAACAATTCGACTTTATAAAAGCAGAAAACAGAAATATATGCAACTTCCAGATCTTTCTTAAAACATGCATGTTATTTTTATTTTCTATGGACGGACAATTTACTGGAATAAAAATTTATTATTTGAGTCGTACTTGTAGAAAGTTATGGAGTTACGGTAACATAACTTGTGTTAGATTTTTATATCGAGTATCTTTAATGATATAAGAACACCGCACGAGTGTTAGAAAAGATCTGTTATAGTTTGAAGATTTACATATAACCAATAGGCCTGTTTTGAACTACTTTGACGATCAGCCTTTATTCTTAGAATTTACCAAACCAACGACGAATGATACCGCGTGGTGCAATAGGTTTGATGTATATCGTGACTTTGAATTTATGCAGGCTGAGAATCAATTGGTTAAAAAAAGCAAGAAAAAACGACAAGACTTGTTTCGTAATAAAATAGTTTTAAAGTCGTACACATTTCTGATAGAAAGAAACGTGAATAATAAATGTTTACTTTCACACAATTTTACCAGAGACGACCTAAGTAGTTTATAAGTTAGTTGATCAAAAAGTCTTGAAAATTGGCTAAATTGTATTTGTAGTAATATATATGTATATATAACGAAAGCATCAATAAGACTTTATATAATACGAATGTTCCTTTATATATATATATATATATATTCACACACACATACGCGTAAAATTTCTTGTAAATATCAGTTTTCTGTATACACATATGTATAAAAGTTTAATATATACAAGACTTGTTTGTCATAATTTTCTATATACACTCCACTTGAGTTTATCACTCAAGTTCCTTATACATATACATATATCTATATATATACATTTCTCCAATAATATTTGTGTGTGTGTGTGAGTATATATATATATATTTTTTTTCTCTAGTTATATTGTTCTCTGTGTATGTGTGCAGAGAGAATTTTTAGGTATCACCAATATTTTCTATACATACGTCTCCCAATGGGTCAGCGGTAGGTTTACGGACTTATAACGCTGAAATCTAGGGCTCGATTCCCCGCGGTGGTTTTGTGCTAAAACGATAAACAATAACTCTTTATATAAAGAACATATTAGAAATAATATGTTTTCTATATATGTATATACAGTACTTGTCTGTAATACCAGTGTTGTTTTGATATGAACTTGACTGTTTTATTACTGATATCTCTCTACACATAGAAATTATCTGATATATTAATGTTCTTTATGTAACAGCAAGTGATATATAGAGTTTATAGATGTAATACCTATATAATACTTGTTTCTAATACCGGTGTTCTAACAGACTGTGTAATAACGATGTTCTTACAAACTGGTCTCCCGGTGGGACAGTGGTAAATAACCGGATTTACAATGCTAGAATCAGGGGTTCGATTCCCCTCGGTAGACACAGCAGATAGTCCAATGTGGCTTTGCTATATGAAAACACACACTTACAAACTATGTGTGTAATACCAGTGTTCTTATAGACGTTATGTATAAAGCCAGTGTTCTTATCATTTTTTTGTGAATTACCATTGTTTCTTATAGATTGTGCGTGTAATATCAGTGTTCTTACAGACTGTGCGTGTATGATACCATTGTTCTTACAGAATGTGTGAGTAATACCAATGTTCTTATAGACTGTGTGTAATACCAGTATTCTTACAAACTGTGTGTGAATGCCAGTGTTCTTAGAAACTGTGTTAGTAATATCAGTGTTCGTACAGACTGTGTTTTTAATACCATTGTTCGTATAGACGGTGTGTGTAGTACCACTGTTCTTACAGAATGTATTTGTAATATCTTACAGACTGTTTGTGTAATACCGGTGTTCTTAAAGACTGTGTGTATAATACCACTGTTCTCACAGACTGTGTGTGTAATATCATTGTTTTTACGGACAGTGTGTTTAATGCCATTATTCTTACAGGCTGTGAATGCCCGTGTTTTAACATCTGTGTGCGTAATATTGCATTCGTATATTCTGTGTGTGTGTAATACCATTGTTCTTACAGATTGTGTGTGTATCGTACCAGTGTTCTTACAGACTGTGTGTATAATACCAGTGTTCTTACAGATTGTGTGTGTATGGTACCAATATTCTTACAGGCTGTTTAGGTAATATCAGTGTTCTAGCGGTCTGTTTGTGTAATACCAGTGTTTTTTACAGACTGTATGTGTAATATCAGTGCTCTAGCGGTCTGTTTGTGTAATACCAGTGTTCTTACAGATTGTGTGTGTATCGTACCAGTGTTCTTACAGACTGTTTGTGGAATACCAGTGTTCTTACAGACTGTGTGTATAATACCAGTGTTTTTACAGACTGTATGTGTAATACCAGTGTTTTTACAGACTGTATGTGTAATACCAGGGTTCTAGCGGTCTGTGGGTGTAATACCAGTATTCTTACAGATAGTGTGTATAATACTAGTGTTCTAACAGACTGTATGTGTAATACCAGGGTTCTAGCGGTCTGTGGGTGTAATACCAGTATTCTTACAGATAGTGTGTGTAATACTAGTGTTCTAACAGACTGTATGTGTAATACCAGGGTTCTAGCGATCTGTGGGTGTAATACCAGTATTCTTACAGATAGTGTGTGTAATACTAGTGTTCTAACAGACTGTGGGTGTAATACCAGTGTTTTTACAGAATACGGGTGTAATACCAGTGTTTTTACAGACTGTGTGTATAATACCATTGTTCTCACAGACTGTGTGTGTATTACCACTGTTCTTACAGAATGTGTTTATATTATCTTACAGACTGTTTGTATAATACCAGTGTTCTTACACACTATGTATGTATAATACCATTATTATCACAGACTGTGTATGTGTATTACCACTTTTCATACAGAATGTGTTTGTATTATCTTACAAACTGTTTGTATAATACCAGTGTTCTTACAGACTGTGTGTGTAATATCATTGTTCTTACGGGCAGTGTGTTTAATACCATTGTTCTTACAGGCTGTGAATGCCCATGTTCTAATATATGTGTGTGTAATATTGTATTCGTATATTCTGTGTGTGTAATATTGTGTTCGTATATTCTGTGTGTGTGTAATACCATTGTTCTTACAGATTGTGTGTATATCGTATCAGTGTTCTTACAGACTGTTTGTGTAATACCAGTGTTCTTACAGATTGTGTGTATCGTACCAGTGTTCTTACAGACTATTTGTGTAATACTAGTCTTTTTACAGACTGTGTGTGTAATAACAGTGTTCTTACAGACTGTGTGTATAATACCAGTGTTCTTACAGACTCTGTGTATAATACCAATGTTCTTACAGATAGTGTGTGTATGGTACCAATATCCTTACAGACTGTTTGGGTAATACCAGTGTTCTTACAGACTGTGTGTGTAATGCCAGTGTTCTTACAGACTGTGTGTGTAATACCAGTGTTTTAACAGACTGTGTGTGTAATACCAGTGTTCTTACAGACTGTATGTGTAATACCAGTGTTTTAACAGACTGTGTGTGTAATACCAGTGTTCTTACAGACTGTATGTGTAATACCAGTGCTATTACGGACTGTGTGTGTAATGCCTTTGTTCTTACAGACTATATGTGTAAAACCTTTGTTCTTACAGACTGTGTTTGCAATACCATTGTTCGTACAGACTGTGTTTGTAATACTGCTGTTCTTACAGACTGTGTTTGCAATACCATTGTTCGTACAGACTGTGTTTGTAATACCGCTGTTCTTATAGACTGTGTAATACCAGTGTTCTTAAAAACTGTGTTTGTAATATTGTATTAATATATTCTGTTTGTGTGACATCAGTGTTCTTACAGACTGTTTGTGTGATATCAGTGTTCTTACAGACTGTTTGTGTAATATCAGTGTTCTTAGAGACTGTTTGTTTAATAATAGTGTTCTTACGGACTGTGTGTGTGTAATGCCAATGTTCTTACAGATTGAATGTGTGTTTGTGTGTTATACCAGTGTTCTTGCAGATTGTGTGTGTGTCTGTGTGTAATACCAGTGTTCTTACAGACGTGCGTGTGATACTACATACGGAACTTATCTGCTATACTAGTGCTCCCTATATACAGATATCGTACGTATATTACTGTTCCCAGTGTGTAGAATTTACCTGTAATATTATTGTTCCTTATACAAAACTTGTCTCTAGTACAATTGTTCTGTACAAACTGAAGTACTTGCAGTACCAACCTTCTCCGTGTAATAAGCATTATTATCTATATATGCAGAGCTTAGGTGTAGTTCCAGTATTCCCTCTATATATTTTTGTTTCCAATACTATTATGATATATATACTTGTCTCTAATTTCAGTGTATTCCATATTTAGAATGTATTTTCAATATCAAAGAGGCCCTGGTGGCTCAGCAGGCTTATAACGCTAAAAATCAGGTTTCATTACCCGAGATGTGAACTATTATGATATATATACTTGTCTCTAATTTCAGTGTATTCTATATTTAGAATGTATTTTCAATATCAAAGAGGCCCTGGTGGCTCAGCAGGCTTATAACGCTAAAAATCAGGTTTCATTACCCGAGATGTGAAGAGCACAGATAGTCCTTTGTGCTTAAAAACGAGCAAACAAAATGTCAAGGTGTCTTATATGTTTAACTTTGCTCTAATACCAATGTTTTGAATACATGCATACACTGAACTTGTCTGTAATACCAATGTTCTCTGTACGTTCTCTCTTTGCCTGTGATATCAGTGTTCTTTACATAAAATAGCGTATGATACCAGTATTTTCTGTGTACACTGTATAAGACAACTAAAGAATAATCGAACTTTACAAACATTTTAACTATCAAAAGGCAAATCCACTGTTATAAATCATCACACCAGTTTATTGTTATGTAGATCAAGAATTTAATTATCCGACATATGATCCGGAATGGACATGATATATAATAGTATTTTAAAAAGAAGTACTTTTTGTTAATTTATAACAAACGGCAGTAACACATCAGCATAATAATGCATAAATGATTAAAGAACTAAGAAAACATAAAAACAACAACAACTAGTTTTGGCATGATTTTGGAAAGAATTTCACATCCCGTCAAGTAACTCCAAACATTAAAGATGTTCTGGAGACTTGTTCAGAGAAGAGGTCGATTATATCTCTGTACTTTATCAACACTTTGATTTTAACCATATACAACACTGGTGACATGCCGCTCTTGCGGCTCATGGTGCTCATACTCTTCAATGAAGTGAAATGTCATGAACTGTAAAACTGTAAAGCCACATCTACCAAATCTCCGTTTACGAGACTAAACTGAGTGACACAATATTTGCATTTCATGCCACATAACGGATCATTACGTACCTGATTTGTATGCATTTATATTAATATTTTATAACACTGGTTTTTGCCTTGTTACACATAATTATCCCATAATTTTGAACTAATAAACTAGACGTAAAGCAGCTAGTCAACAGCACCCATCGCGAACTCTTTGGCCACTTTTGTCTGATCGAATAATGGGATTTGACCTTAAATTTTATAATGTATTCACGGTCCCAAAGTACAGCTCACGTTTTTTTCGGCCACGCCCAGCCCATACCTTTGCTTTGTCATAGATAAAAATATTGTAAATTGCAATTATCATTTGTTTATTTCAGTATATATAACTTGGCTGTAATAAAAGTGATCTGTATAACTTTCGTCTCCATCTGCAGAAATATTATTGTCTTATGTATATTTATTTATATATAAATGTGTGTTTAAAATACAATGTTGATGTTATATATACACACATGATTATTTGAAAGTTAATTGGTCCAATCTAACGGTCATAAACGGAAAAATTGTCATCACCAAACTGCAGAGCCGTAACTAGGTTTCAAAGGACCCTGTAGTAAAAAAAAAAAAAACTGTTGTCCCCGCCATTAAAGCTTTTCCGTATTTCAAAATATGTTCCTCCAAATTCCAATATTCAAAATTTCAAACACTAATTTTGAGAGAGATCCTCTGGGGCCTCTTGTCGATCTAGTCCCTCGGGCAGCTGCCCCACCTATCGTTACACCACTGGAAAATTAATATGTGATACATAAAGCAATAAGACGACGGGAAAGGTGATTCCCGTGCAAAAAAAAAAAAATGTGTAACGCATATAAATAACCTAATATTCTGGAGATGAAGTACAGCAGTTTCATAAGACTTAAAGCTTTAGCGAGAGGAAGTCATAGTCTCTAAACCTTATTGAAGTCTCTAATTTGTGAAAGAGTTGTTTTAAACATATAATGAATTAACCACCTACGCCTTATTCCATGCGGAGCTCATAGTGGTGGTGTGCAGACGTGTGAAACAATGGATTCACCAGTACACATTTTTCAGTGAACTGAATCGATTCGAACCTGTATGTTTAGAGACACGATGACTGTGAGCTTTTAACGAAATTTTTAAAGTTAATCAAAGAAATCAAGCAGAATTTTGTTATTATACTGAGTTAATAAATTTATCGTTTTTATTAGATTGAAAATAATATCTAGTAATATATGAGTTCATGTGCCCGAGGTGCAACCATGGATGTATTGGATCAACCACCAGGAGGCTGTGCAGTCGAATAATAAAACGCTATAACTCTAGAACCTACAATACCATAAGTATTACCAACCACTGTCTAAACGAGTGTGGTATTATGTTTACCTTTAGTTTGTTCCACGTCATCCTCCATTATGGGGAAATATTCCAACTTAGAATGGTAGTATCTCTTGCCTTGAAGCTGAAAAAAAAAAAGAGAAACAGCTCATAATCAGAAGATGTGTGCACTGCCACTACATCTTCAATTATAAATATGTAAAGAAGGAAGATAACACGAAGTTCGATTGTTGAATATGAGGCGGACTAAAAACTTGATCTTTATTTACGTATACAATATTTGTTTTACTTTCCCGCTTCTTTTCATACTTGCATTATTCCTTTACCCCTCATGACTGTCTCCTCTCTCTCCCTCTCTCATTACACTTTCTCTTTCTTTTTTGCGATGCCATCACTCCTGAGGTTTTATCAGCCAAACTACTAGAAGGGTATAATTGACCCTCTTTCTGTAGCCTGACGCATTCATTTTCCAAGCCATTCTCGTTTATTATTTATTTATTTTTACTTTTTTAACTTCGCATATCCAAGGTCACCTTTGTATTTGTAGTCTTGAAATGTTGACATGTAGAGACGTAACAGAATAAGATACAATAAGTGGCTTTACATAAATAATTCGTTTCACGCCTCAATTGCTTAGAATATACACAGGCGCTTCCCACTGCTCCATTCCACTCCTACGCCATTAAATATATGTATTAAATGTACTAATTTATTGGACTCGTCCAGTTGTTTTAAAACATACAAGAAATTTTCCACTTAAGACCTAAATCAACCACCTTACTGATAATAATAATAATATTTATATAGTTACTTATATATTCTCAAACGTTAAAAGCTTTCATTTAATCCCTTTTCTTTTCCCGTTCTCATAAAGTGAAAGCAAAAAAATAAACAGAAGACACACACACTTGTACAGATCCAAGTCTGTAATTATAAGTGTAAATAATTTCTTTATATTGTTTTAGTTATAATCTATTTAAATTTTTTCTAAACTTTTTTTCTAACCTGTTTGTCATAGATATTTCCATTGGAATTTAAAGGCATTAACTCTTTATTATCGTCGCTTTTGTTTAACATCTTCGATTTCATTTGATATCTTGCCATTGAAGTAAGTAACCTGACGTTCCAGTGTTTGTAGTTTGAAGCCAAACTCTCCACATAGAAACTCAGATCGCTGTTTTTCAGGGACTGGCATGACTTGGTGGTTATGGGGGTCGATTTGCAATCTGTAGGTTGCGGGTTCAAACCTCTTCACTGAACATGCTCACACTCTCAATCGTCGTGGCGTTATAATGTGATGGTAAATCTCACTATTCGTTGGTAAAAGAGCAACCTAAAAGGTGACGGTTGGTGATGTTGACTAGCTGCTTCCCTTCTAGTCTATAGCTTCTAAACTAAAGACGGTTAGCGCAGATAGCCCTCAAGTAGCTCTACATGAAATTGAATAATCAAAGAAATCGTTGTTTTTCTTGTATGTTGAACACGAAATATTACATTATCAATGTGAATGAACATTACATCAATTCATATGCAGTGTGGTTTTATAGATATTCTCCACATCCGGGTGGAAACTCTTGCTTCATTTAAAGTAACAAATATTGATCATTTTTGCAATTCGTTTGAAAGTTTTACTCATTCACTACACACAATATTCTGAACAGTAAAAACAAACAAACAAAACACCTTATACAGCAGGACGAATTTCGTGTTAAGAATTTTAACGAAGCCAATAAACTTTCAGCTTCTTATACAGTAGTTTTAATCAGCAAGGGTGAGACAACAAAGTCTGCCACTTGGGGGTATGGTGTCCGAAGAGAAAGCTTTATAGCCAGGCCTTCATCTAGCTAATAATTACTCACTTCGGGGAAGTTTTTCTAGTACTTTCGACCAAGTTAAAGTAATGAATAGTTGAATTTGTTGCTCTAGCACTAACTTTTTTTTTATTATTGTTGGTAATGGTGATATTTTTGTTTACTACGTGAAGATTATGGCAATATTACAGGAATATAAACTTAATAACGAATGTAATATTTGCGTATAACGCCTGTGCTGCTGTGTTTATTTTATCCATACTCCATATTCTATAAAGTTGTATTTATAATTCATAAATGAAATTTGACATTATTGTTCCATTCCTGACAACATTTAAGCTTAACATTTTGGGTTTAAGCTAGAAGCAGGTCGTACCTGAGAACAGTATCGATATTGTTTTTTTGTTTTTTTTTCAGTTTAAGAACGGTATCGATTATTTGGAACAAATTTACCGTTTTAAAATGTCATATTTTATTTGTACTATATGCAAGATTTTTATCACGTGTTGAAGTCTATCCTCCCCCTTAAACTGTCTATTGTAAATAAATGTACTTGTTTAGGAGATTTAAAAGTGTTCTGTAAAACCTGATATATCTATTAAAAATAATAATAAATAAATATGTTTCTTGCTGTTTGTCACAAGTCCTAAAATTCAGTATTTGAATGTAATATTCAAATGAAAAAAGTAAGTCGTGGATTTCATTATAAATTTTCTATGACATTTTTATCGACGTTTTTATGATTGCCAGTAGTCGGATTTGAATTTAACACAAGCCGATATGTGTTGGTTTCGTGTCTGGTAAATACGAAATAAATCGTTATTTATAGAGTAAAAACGGTTGTAGTAAATAAACTTGGTTTTTCGAAATAAAAAAAAACCAAGTTTATTTACTACAACCGTGAAGGTGTTTGGAAATTTGCGTTGAGAGGGTGGTTTAGTACGTTTATAAAACGGTAGATTCGCAGGTACTTTCCGTCTAATCATAAAATCAGAGCTCAGTGCACATCTACAGCGCTGCTTGTTCTGCACTGTTAATGTTCGCTCAATGTTGTTTAACGGCGTTAATCAATCGTGCACCTGCATACATTAACGCGCATTGTATAGGTACATATTTACCAACCAATAAATGTTGACTCATTTCTGGAAGATTTAACTCTTGTGAAGAGGAACCGATGGAACATTTTTTTTTTCTTTTGTGTTTGCGACATCGGCTTATATGCAGAGGCTTTCACGTGCTGTTGTGTATGTGGTGTCGTATAGTATACCGTAACGTGCGTTGTACCAACCTGTTATCGTGTTTACGTGTGAAAACCAAGAAAATATTGTGGAAATGACATTTTCAAATTTTGAAAGGAGTCGAAGACCACAAGGTATCCGCGATATTCGGCCATAGTTTGATACTAAATAAGTATCGTTCCTTATTTCACAATATTCACTGGCCGTTTGGACTAACTAAAAGTACTTATCGTTTCCTTATAAATAGAATTTAATTAATGTTTCGTAATAAAATGAAATTCGGTAATTAATTCAAATCACGGCACATACTATAAGCACCCAATCAAAACCTAGGGAGATATTTAACGTTTGTTGAGTGGTTACTTTTGATTTAGGAAGATATGAACCCTACATCAAATTTGATAACAGTTAGAAATGTTGTTTTTAGATTATTAACACTTTTAATTCGGACGAGGATTGGGACGAAAATAAACAATAGGAGCACAACACTGCAGATAAGCTAATCTCAAACCTAGTTCTGGTAGAACAAAAAAAAAATATTATTTTTAAATAAAAATTTTAGTTAACAATAAGATAGGCAGAAATTTTGCCTTAATCGGAATTCGTACGTTTATGTATCTGAAAAAATCATCATAACATCTTATATTATTAAAGTCTTTCCAACATTTCACATCTCCTCTGCTTAAAAAACAAACTAATAAGTCTGACTAATCTAAAGCTACAATTCCTTACTGCAATTGGATAGCGCTGAATGTCAGGAAATACCTCTCCTTAATGTTTTAATCTTAGGACCCCTCCAGTGGAACAGAGGTAAGTATGTAGGATTATAACGGTAGAAACTAGGTTTCGATACCCGTGATGGACACAGCACACATAGCCCATCGTGTAGCTTGGTGTTTAACCGCAAACAAACAAACATTTAAACTTAGAAATAACTTATTAATCACGAACAAAAATGAGTTGAGTACACATTTATTGACTTCTTTCATACACTCACAACATACACTAGGTTTTCTTCCATGCATGGCAAACTATCAAAAACAAAAGATATGGGAAACATTATTACAATAACGAGTTCGATAAGTAAGTTTATCTGGTTCTGACTGTTTATGATATCGAAATTCTACTTCCCTGTCAACCCAACATGCACATTGTAAAGTTCCAAGTTAGTAAAGCACTTTAAGAGGTTATGTACTTTACTAAGTAAATGAACATAGTGAAGAGGTTCACAATAGACACAGCTATTTAAAATGCTTTAAATTGTTGAGAATCCAACGCATTTGGTAAATAATAATCGAAATATATCATTCTTTGATAGATAGTTTAGACAGAGTATCCATATTGAATTGACTCTGAAATGGGCGGCAATTGCCTATTAGAGAAACACTTGTAGAAATATATTGGTAAGTTATCTACTTATGCTGCTCAAGACTAAAGAACGACGTTTCGAAAGTCTTCCGCCCTTTGCAAGCTATTGTAGGCCTTATATAGTACTTTCTCTCAATAAACCACACGTAATAAATACAATTTAGTGTGTTTTGAGATACCATTAGAACACTATTTATGATATAGTATCCATTACTCCAGTAAAATAGTTGCTCTACATCCACTCATGCAATTTCTGAATATTTATATACTAATTGCTAGTTTTGCAATTTAACGACTTTTGTATCTTTCCCCTCTTACGCCTAAGAAATCCTTATTTTCGTTTAAAGTTACATATCCTTTATCCCTCTCTATTTAGAACCTTTTTTTTTTTTGGCTAAACTTACCTGTTGCCCTTGTTGGGACTCTATTATTCCCAATTAAAACGGGGCGTGAAAGGGAATACGATCAGGAAAATGGAATACTACAGCTTCTTCCTTAAAGTAATTACACACTAAATTCACTCTAGCTAGTGGTACATTATATTTATCTCCACTCTACTCTGTGCTGAACCTCCTCAATGTTATATCCTTACTTGACAGAACAATATATCTATTCAAAACGTTTTATAATAATTTCACGCAAAGCTTGACTTCTTTAAATTTAGTGGGAGTGTGATGTTCTTTGTAGTATAAGATAGCATTTAGTTTCCATTCTGTTAAATTTCTACCTTAGCTTTATAATTTCCTGACTTAACCAATCCTTGACTATGTTGTTTGCTGATTACCAAACGGTCCAGTTCAGTCCTATGTTGTAGGGCAGGATGCACGACCTGTGAATCTCAGGTGTGTAAGGTGATCGTTTTTTTTTTATCTTCCATAACATTATGGTATTTTCATTTTTAATGATATATATATTTTCTCGCCTCGGATCTGACTAAAGACCTTTCGCACACGAGGTGAGGGCTTTACCAATTGATCTAAAAGGCTACCCCCCCTCCCCAGCGTTTAACTATCCAAACTACTACATTCTTCCCCTCTCACAAACAAGACTCGTTCCCGAGCCTAAGTTCAGGGCGATGGAACAGCCACTAGTTAAGCGCCAATGTGGTATTTTCAATTTTTTCACGATACATATTTTCTTGCCTCGGATTTGAACCCGGGACCTCTCACAAACGAGGCAAGTTCTCTACCAAATGGACTAAAGTGCTAGCCCTCGAGCACTTGTAAGTCACTGC